CATTTCTGCCACAATGGCTTGTAATTCCATTCCTCAAATGTATGTTTAGATGAAATGAAGCTATTTTTGTACGTGATCTGATGTGTGAAAAAAAAGGGACAAAGCACTCCTTTACTAGGATGATTTTTTTTAGGTTTTAGCTACACATTAGCATGTATTGTCCGGCCCTTTGTCCTGTTTTGAGCCTGTGAATGACAAACGTATTGACTTGTTTGCCTGGTGTTATAGCTTGTAAATCGTTGTCCCTAAATTGCATCAGTCGTTCATGCAAAACAACTTTACTGCTCAGTGTTAGCCAAACGTCTCCCGAGGCCCCGTTAGAGCCGTCTGCAGCCATTAGAGAACCCTCCACTGTTTGTTTCTTAACCATTTAAATATGAGAACATTATCACCATTCTGACAAATACCAGAACCTCCACGTTTTCTGAATATTTACTTTAAATATGAGAACATTATCACAATTCTGACTAATACCAGAACCTCCACGTTTTCTGAATATTTACTTTAAATATGAGAACATTATCACAATACTGACAAATACCAGAACCTCCACGTTTTCTGAATATTTACTTTAAATATGAGAACATTATCACGATTCTGACTAATACCAGAACCTCCACGTTTTCTGAATATTTAACCCTTTAAAGGACGAAAAGGTGCATAAAGTATAAACAATAAAAATAAATAAAAATACAAGGGAGTAACACATTGAGTGACTATATGTACAATCAGGATGGCTTATATACAGTATACATATTGCACAGGTCAATAAATATAATATGATTGCACAGTATTTGTGATAGTGGTTGTTATAGTACAACATTGTATAGTCTGGTAGCATAAATGGTTTGTTATAAATGTAAATGACTTTCAGATGGGGGGCAAGTTGACTGAGTTAACCCTTTAAAGCCTGATCCAAGAATAAAACAAAACAGAATTTTTTATTTATTTTTTTGTTTGAAGTCTTTATTTGGCTTTTTAACAAAATATATAAAAAGAAAAAACAGAAATACATTTTTAACATTAATAATTCATTACTATGTGATAAGTCAAGATAATGTTTTGTGTAGTCTTCTGCCCCCTGTTATCAGGTGTATCTGATTGTGTACAATAGGATTTGTCCCGTCTGGGGGAATGTCTGGTGTGTTGTCATGTCTTGATTACCTATTGTGTTCCCCTGGGGTTCCCCCCCCTCATGTGTTTAAATAGTCCTCGTTTCCCATGTCCTGGGCCAGTGTGTTTTCGTCTTTCTTCTCCCCACGTCATGTAAGGTTTTGATTATTTCCCATAGCCATGTTTTGCCACAGCCTTGCCACAGTTTTGTTAATCTTTATTTTGTTACTTTGCCATAGCCTT